GCCTGGTCGAAGTCTTTGACTTCTTCCTTGGCTTCTTGGGGATGGGCGCTCCTCCAGCAGTGTTTAAAAACTGGTCCATTTCAGCTGCAAAGCAAGAAACACAATATTAATCACAATTCTATGTTCTACATTCAATGCTACAGTGCATGTTACACAAACCTTCACTCAGAGCGCTCGGCCCATAGAGCTCAGCAGCTTCTATGCATGCTGCGCTGGTGAGGTCCATGATATTCAACACATCTCCCCCCTTCCTCACCAACTTCCTCACTTCTTCCTCCTCATCCTCATTTAAGCTAAACCTATTCTGGTTGGCCCTTTTGGCCTTCCAGGAGGCTAACTCCCTCACCTCGGTATCCCCCTTCCCCCACTCCGTATCATCCACAAAAAAGAATTTTTCCTTCCATCCCTTAATGGATGAAGGACCTGCAGCGAATAAAATCCTACTTTCCTTCTTAGCTACCCTAAGGGTGAAATAATACCACCCCTTATCCCTCCTACTTCCCCCCTTTAAAACAAAAAAGTACTTAAACATATTTACAGTTGGCACACTAATCCCCTGAGCTCGGCAATAAACTAAAAAATCGATTATTACCCTTATTGCGTTGGGGACCAACTGTGTCAACCCTATGTTGTAATCTAATAGTAAACCTATTAGCAACTCAAGAAGTGGAAACCTGAGTCCCGCCATCAAATAGTGGGAATACACAGGCATCCAGTGATCCCGAGGAGTAGAGCACGCCCTATCCTCTACCCCAGCTAGCCTAACTAACACTCGGGAAGAGATCTCGTACGTTTCAACTAAGTGACCCAAGCTATCCCTGGTCCTTAGTTCAGATTGGTACTGCTTCACCTCCTCCACTATCTCTGCATTCCCATCATAATCTCTCTCCCCTCTACCCTCTACTTCTACTACCGTGATGGGTATGCTATCTCCCTCAACCCCTACCACCTCATTACCACCAACCCTTACTACCTCTTCCTCCCCTACCTCTATCACCTCATCCCCTCTCATCCCCTCCACTGTCTTCTCCGAACTAGATGGGGATGGACTACTCTCCGAGTCCATGCTCCCATAGTCTAAAGGCATCACCTCACTCCCAATCACACTTTCTGTTCATTCTGAGGACATTTTCTCAAACTCTGCACGACGTAGGGGGGAGGAATGAAGTCAGGACCCATTTAAAAAAAAAAAAAACCCCTCTGTTACACATTCAAAATCCCTCTCATCTCTAACCTTAACTTCCTTCAGAGAACTCTAAATCAATCACAGAAAGGGAGAAATGAGAGAGACAACTCGATTAACTTAAAATCAGAGTTTCGTCTACATTACCTGATTTCGGTTTTGAAAGACTTGATGTAGAGTTCCCCAGTTGATGCTGCAGTTCACGCACCGGAAATGCACAGTAAAGCTTCTCGCAGAAGTTTTGCAGGAAAACAAAAAGCAAGTAAACTTCTTTCTGCAAAAAAAAATGCCTATTTATACTTCTGGGCAAAATTAGATCTCAATGGATGAGACTTGTTTAATCTTACGGTTCCTGTTGACACCGTTTGGAATTCGATGGACAATCCCAAACGGTACCGTTTTGAACTTGACGGTTCGTTTTTAAATTTGCCCGTTTAACTGTTGCAGTTATTTTTTTACGGCCGCATTTATTGCGCACGTCGTTTCAAGGACAACTGTCACACGTATGTCAGTATTTTTACACGGGCCCATTTACGCCCATCTTAACACCTTTGTTCATTTTTATACATTCTCAATTTTGCAAGTGTTTCACCTCGGCTTCGACCACAATAATCATGCATTATATTTCACATCGGCTTCGGTCACAGTGACCCAATATCACACATTTTATTTCGGCTACGGCCATTATGACTACGGTCATTATATTTTATTATAACTTCGACCATTATGACTCCGGTCATCATATTTTAAGCCCAGCTCAGCACCTCTGCTTACTTTTACCATTACAGTTTTTGACGGGCAAAGTGTTTTACTTCGGCTCCGGCCACAGAGACATGTTTTACTTCGGTCCTGGTTACTACGACCACATGTCACATACTCTACCTCGGCTCCGGCCCTTATGACTCCGGTCATCATATTTTGTTACGGCTCCGGCCATTATGACTCCGGTCATCATTTTCCATCACGGCCTTGGCCTTGGCCTTTATAACTCCAGTTATCATTTTTATTATGACCTTGGCTCCATTATGACTCCAGTCATTATTTTTGCCACGACCACAGCCGTGATCACTCCAGTCATATTCCATTTAAGGCACCCCAGTATGACCCACTGTTATATATTTCATTATTAGCTACGGCTATGTCTAAATTTAAATTACAGCTTTCTTCCTTATACTTCCATGACTTATCCGTATTTTCTTTGTTCATACACTCCCCTCATTATCCCCAGCAACATCATTCACAAGTGAATGACTTCGAGGGGGG